AAGTTTGAAGCTTTGAAAGAGACGGAGGAAAAAGGAGAAAATTGTTGATATAAGGACGGAGAAGCCAAAAGGGGGGGGGGGGGGGGATAATTAAACGAAACCATACAGAGAGAGAGAGAGAGAGAGAGAGAAAATGAGAGACAGAAGGATATATTGTCAGAACAAGCTCGATCTGGGAGGGGGGATAGCCCCCCACTCCCCCCCCCCCCCCCCCCACATATATACACCATGATACCTTTTGAAGAGTTTTGTAGCTGGATTTCTTTACGACTTTGTTGACGAATCCCACATTGTATGTCAATTATTTCCACTAACAAACTTCCACCGACAAATATCGACTGACAAATTTCCAAAAAAAGCTTTGCACCTTCTTGCTTTCCAGTGAATGTGACTTCCATGTGAGCACTGTATTCAAGATTAATGTCAGACACATTTCTTTCTCCTTCAATCCCCCTTTCTTTGTATATTTCTCTCTTCTCTCCCACTTGACCCCCCCCCCCCCCCCTCTTACTCCTACTTTTCTGCCATTCACATTGTACCTTTTACTTTCGTATCAAATTTTCCTTTCCAATTCGCTGTCTCTAACCCTCTCTCACTCTGTCTATCTCTGTTCCTTTCTCTTTATGTGTGTGTGTGTGTCTCTCTCTCTCTCCCTCTCTCTCTTTGTCTCTCTCTCACTCTCTCTCTGTACCCCTCTTTCTCTCTTTGTCTCTCTCGTGTCTCTTGTTTCCCTTTCTCTCATAATATCTTGATGGCAAAAGACTGTCAAATAAGATGAATTTCACAATTTCTACTCATATTTACTTCTTCCTCCTCTTTATTCCATACAGGATAAATTAAACATTTGAAATGCAACTTTCATTTTTATTGTACAAACAAAATAATGGTGGAATGGACAAAATCCTTCAAATATCCCCCATTTAGTAAATAATTCACATAAACCAATATTAATGTTATGGCATGCTCAGTCTAAAGCCATGGTTTGAAACCATTTGAGCTTTAAACGTCATTAATGTAAGTAAAGCAAGGAAATTCAGAAAATGAATATGTACGTCATCTAGATACACAAATTTTTCTACATAATAAAAACACATTAATTATCGAAACGACATGGTCTAACGCGAATACAAAGCATGAATATAATCAAAGCTAAATCCAAGCACTGTAAAAGATATGAACAATGAACACATATTAACATCAGCAAATAACGTGCAAAAGAAATATGTTTACATACAATACACATCAACATAAATGAACATGTTATGTAAAAATAAAGAACCTAAATAAATTCAGGATTTGCACCAATCTGTTGTACTCTTATTCAACAGATGTAAAATCATATTTGTGATAAATAAAAACTGTCCTCTACAAATTGTTTCTTGATTAAACTTCTTCTTTTTTCCCTCTCCCAAAATACAACTGTACATGTATGTAATGTTCATCTACGTTGTACTTATAGTATTAAATGAACACATCATATGAATTTCAGTGATAATCAAATCAAACATGCATTTCCCAATTTTTAAAATCAAATTTTGAATAATTACTTTCTGTGATGCTCACTAATGGAGTCAATAGAACCCACATACCACTACGATGGCAATGGATGTATGAAGAATAGATACATGGATACAATAAAACAAACAAAAACATTAAAAAATCACCAATATTTCGTAACATAAAAAGGCTCTTTGAATACTGAAAGGGAAAAGTACTAAAATCTGTAAGTCTCTGTGATGAGCTCTCTACATTGTGCATTTTTTCTTATAAGTTTTCGCACAACAGGACAAAAAGTGATTTACTATTTACATCAATAAATAAAATTTCATATTGCCATCAGAATCAAGATGAACATGTATGCTTCAATTCTGAATTTCCTTGCTTGCTTCTTACTGCCTTTAAACATTAACATGGCAACCCAAATTCCACAGCTGATAAATGTCACATATTATAAGTTAACAAACATACGATTTCATGATCAATATTGTGCAATTTTAGGTGTAACCCCTTCCCCTTTATAAATGATAATAATAACAATAATAAATGAATACATTATTATTATTTTTTTTTTAATAATAAAAATAGTAAAAAAAGTTTTTAAAAAGTGAGGATAAGGCACATTGATCAACTATTCAATGATAAAAACGCAGTTTAATCTTTAATAAGGGACAAAGTGCATGATTGCAATGCATTTATTTACTTCAAATTAAATCCACATTTACATGGCACCAATTTTCAGATAATGCTTGCAGGGTTTCAGGCAAGAATAGGGATAGATTCAATTAATTTTACCAGCTGTAGAATTTGGGTTTTGAAATAAAAATGTACACAGATCTAAGGTCAGAGAATGTTCCAGCTTTCCTACCCAAACGAAATGATTATCCTTATATTCCAAACAAATAGTTTTCTAAAATGCAGAGCACACATAGCGCAGATATACGTTTATGATATTTCTGAAAGAAAGAAAAAACGCATCATTACATTCTTATATCTGATGACATATCCACTTAACCACGACGCCTCTATAGGCCTATTTTCATCAACTCAAGTTGGCAAATAACCCGCCATTTTCAGACTCGGGATATCATCCCGAAACTCAAAATTGCATCTTCACCAGACCGATACGCTCATCACAAACTCGGACGGGCGCAAATTAGCCCCTTAATTCCCAAATAGCCAGATATTTTGGAAACGAGACCAAGCTTTCTCTGGATATTTTCTCAACCAGATATCCTGCTAATTGCAACTGCGGGCTGATGAAGACACAAAGTACATGTAACTGGTTAATTTGCGATCGGGATAGTTATAATAGCGGGTTATTCGGCAAACTCGAGCTGATGAGGACAGGCCTTATGTGTGTCTACAGCATGTGAATGTTATACATTCATCAAGGCAGTATACATGTAGGATAAATTTTGCTAGAACATTACTGGAACATTAAGTGACCTTTGAGTGACCTGTGTACGACCTTTAACCTCATCCGCCTCCGCTGCGGCTTGGTCGAGCTGACGGGCGGAACCCTGAACCTTGACCTCCCCACAGTGGGTTGTAATCTAAGACATCAAAACAGAAACAAGAAACAGAAAGCAATTAGTACTATCAGAATATACTGGGAGTGGACAGTTTCTTGTTGATTATAAAGGTAATGCATCATTTAAAGCTGGACTTGCCCCCTCTATACAGCAAACAATGCCTAAGCGGTACCTGTTGGTCCCCCATAATCCCCTTTTTCTTATGTTAATTGAGAGCTGATTTGATGAGAGAATCACCTGTCAGTGACCACGCAGGGAGGTCTAATCCCTCCTGGCCAAACTAGGGCAGATAGGCTTTAAAAGCAAGTAATAGTAGGAGAACACTGGGGCACATTTTTATTGATTAAAAAGGTAATTAAACACTGAATCTTCACTAAACCATAACCAACTCTGCTGTTACTCCCCAGTTGAGATCAGCTTTAAGATCTGCATAATATCGCTGAAAGGATGTTTATATACTTCAACAAAGATGGAATAAAATGTCTCTGAAAACAATATACCGTAAATCTCCGTGTATAAGGCAAACTTTTTTGCCGCCGTAAAAAATTGAAAGTCGGGGGTGCGTCTTATACACAGGTACACCAAGTTTTTAGTTTTGATTTATGGCGCTATGCCTGGCAATGTCTCCCAGCTCAGTAATTGGTGTGTTGACTCAGAAACTAGAACAACACTCAAATGTGTCTGTCTTCTTGGTCTGAAAGTACTCTTTCTAATAGATCTCAATATGTAGTTTAGAATAATAATTCCTCCAATTTTGCTTCGGTGTACCACAAGGTTTTATCCTAGGTACTCTACTGTTTTAAATTTACATTAATGATCTTACACATTTTTCTAAAAACGACATTGTTACTTTTATTTGTGACAAGTTCACAAGCGAAAATCGGCGCCTTCAACTGCACCTCGATGTTAAATGAAAGTCCTTCCTCGCATGTGTTTTAGTTTCGGCAACAACAAACAAAAAACAAAACAAAATTTTTAATTTTTTTTTTGTCTTCAAAATAGGGGTGCGCCTTATACACAGGTGCGCCTTATACACAGAGATTTACGGTACATTGTGAATGTTTTTTAAATGTTTAAACAATGGCCGAATTTGATCCAAAAAAAGAAAACTTTAATATCTCAACGTGTTGCCAATTTGAGGGTTTTAAATTTGAGAAGTTCACAATAACTCTCATTCTTACAACAATTTCTACCAGAATTGATTGTTAGATGGTAGTTCTGTGTATGTTGACCATTCAGTGTAAGTTTGGTTGAATACTAAAGATCTTATTTCCATCAATGGCTTATTATCTGCACTTACCATCTCTTAACTTCTTTTTTGGTTTATCCTGCCTGGTAACTCCACGGGCCTCCGCTTGTTCGGCTTCCTATTGAATTCAGGGAGGAAGAAAGTTGATAACCAAGTAAATAAGGAATAACATTTTTGAAAGGAGGGATATATTTTATGAACAACATTCTTTAGGTTCATGAAATGTAATGAAAAATGTAAACAACTTGACAATGTACAATGATGACCAAGTAAATAAAGAATACTATCTACGGTATATAAGGTTTCCAAGATAATGCAGGGCTTAAACTAATCCAAGGCCACCAGGGCTATGGCCGTGGATGCCCCTAGCCCTTTGATTGGCCTCAATGCCCCTCTCATGGTCCTTGGAGATTTGTTGTGCCCTTTCCAATTCTTCCTATTTGTGCTGTAATATAGGAATGTGCCCTACAGAAAAGTGGCCTTGCCCTAAAACTACTGAAATTTAAGGCCTGTAATGATTATAATATTGGATGGCTTTGTTTTCGTGTGATACAAGAATATATTGCTCTCGCTATGACAATATTGGACTCGTCTTTAACTTGTTCAATATTGTCATAGCTCGAGCAATATATTCTTGTATCACACCCAAAGCCATCCAATATTATATAAATATTTTCTAAAGAAGGGATATATTTTCTGAACAACATTCCTTACGTTCAGAATTGAATGAAAAATGTAAATAATTTGTTAATGTAGCAGACAAAGTATGTGAGATTTGATACAGTTTTCACACTGGAAGGTTAGTTAATATCCATATTTGTGAGAGCCTCATTAGGGGCACATGGCCCATTGCCCTAAATCTAATCAGAGAACAAATTGATAACAATCTGAATCAGCTCAGAAAGTGGAACAAATATGTTTGTCAGTGAGAAACTATCAGCTGTTCATTAAAAGAATGCATGGCAAGAAAATACCCTTTTTCCCTGCACAACCTTTTTTAACCTAACAGTAAAAAACAACGCAGAAATAAGTTCAAAATTTGCTATATCAACAAAGATTAGGAAACTTCAATCTCCTCTTAATATGACATTTTGATATCTTAGTTGATACACATTTTCAGCTATTAATACAATGTTCTTTCCAAGTTTGCTATTTAAAAAAATATGCTGATAAGAGGTCAATTTGTTTAAAGGTATGTGTAATACACATAGAGGGTCATGTTTATGTACTAAGTGAAAGGCGTGTCTCCAGGTACAAGATCTCAAGAGAACGCCGAGTTAGAAAGAGCAAAGGTGAAAAATAATTTGTGAGCATTGTTTTTTTTTTTTAATGTTAGTATCCCCTGAAAAGAATGGCTCTTCAAATGCTCTTGAATTCAAAATGTCACAAGTATCAGCTCATGGTTTTGGACCACACTTTCATGCCACATGTTTGTGTAGTCCCATATTCACATTTCTGTGTCGGTGCATGTAACTTTTAGGAAGATTTTGTCAATTTCTGGGGCCTGTTTCATAAAACTTGTTATCTATAACAGTTCTGCTAAATTTCTATGACAAATTTGCTCTCAGCCAATCAGATGCCATGATTTCAGTAGCTTATAACAACAACTGTCATTTGTCACTGATGACAAGTTTTGTGAAATGGGGCCCAGGACCCTGTTTCATAAAACTTGATATCAATAACAAGTTACAAGCTACTGTTATAAGCTACTGCAATCATGGCATCTGATTGGCTGAGAGCAAATTTGTCATAGAAATTTAGCAGAACTGTTATAGATAACAAGTTTTGTGAAACAGGCCCCAGAACTCCACTTTAAATGTATAAAGAGTGGCTTACCTTGGCAGCTTTTGTTTTGGATTTATAACCGAGACCTTTCTGATGACGTTCCCAGTCCTCTATCTCTTCCTTTCTCTTCTCTTCTTCTTTCTGCAAAAAAAATCACGAGATTAGAAATTAAAAAGAAGGTTCAATTTCTAGGAATGCAAAGATTCAACCAATGGATGTTCTCATTAAATGTTGGTAAAAGCTAGTACAGGAAATAAACACACTATTGGACGTACATGTACATGTAACCTACATTGTATAGGACATGGATTATCCTTTAAACTTTCTTGAATCTAAATATTTCATATCTTGAAATGATCAATATCATGGCAAATATATAATATCTGCAACGTTTACAAAGTAGTCCACAAATACTTCACATTGGTACTTTTCATCAAGTAAACCAAGGAAGAACAGAGGGCATTTTTTGTGTGCTGCTTTTTTCCCCTCTTTGGGCTGATATTTTTCAGTACTAGAAAGTCATATGTAGCTGTATCTTACCTCCTTTTGTTTCTGGGCGTATTCTTCTGTCTCTGCGTCATACTTGGCCTGAAGTCTCTGTCTTGCTCTCTCCATCGCCTCCTGTCGCTGCAGCACTTCATTCGCATCTAAGATAAGACAAGATCACAAGAAAATGATGTTTCATTATTATTACAGTGAGTGATTTCAAGTTCGGTGCTTAGGGCTGGTGTCAGTATTAACACTAACACCAACCCTAAACACCGAAATGGAAATCAGCTGGTGTTAAGACTTTGACCTCTGAATATCGTCAACTTACGGTAGCTAGCATTATCGATTTTGCAAAATTGTCGTCTGCTGAATCGACCTTTGTGATTGGTGTTAATATGTTATGTACAAATGTCCTATTCACTAACACTAGCCCCTAGGGATTAAGCTCATGTTGATTTCCAGTTCGGTGTAAGCGTTGTACCCGCACAACAGTCAACGCCCGAATGACGCTTATTTATTTTCTGACGATCAAATACAAATATGTGAAACAGGTCCTATACTATGTGATTCATACATTCTTTTGTGTAAAATTAGTTATTTTATAAGACCAGAGAAATAAGTGTAAATTTATTCTGTGCTTTTCATGATATCTTTAGTTTTTATGTACTATTTTTAAATCATCGTTGTGAAATGTGTTGGGATGACAAAGTGCAGTGGTGTTTAGGGTGGTGTTAAGCTATCGATATATCGGCAAATCAGCAAATATTTGTTTGATTTTAAGAGCTCTTGACCGCTCTTAACACTAACACTAACACCCAACTTGAAATCACTCATTATATTTGGTTGGGAGAGGAAAAACTAACCAAACCTCTGTGACCATTGTGTCTCTCCTCCTGGTATAATTGATTGGGGATGTGCAGATGGGCCTCTCGTTCGTTCGTGTCTCCTTAGATCAAGATAGTTACATGTATGTAGAGTGCCTTAATTAAAATTAAATTAAATTAAGTTCTTCCATTGATGGGCCACTACACTACAGCCACTAAAGCCGGGGAAAGAATTGTGGAGCGCCAGAGAGCGTCAAGTCTGACAGTCATGAATGCTATACACAAGAACCCATTATCATTACTACATGTGTGTGTATTATCATTCCATGATGGATTTGCGACTTACTGATGAGCAAAGCCATGATTTATTGTCTATGCTACCTACAGTACCACAACTAAGATTTTTAGTATATCTGATAATCGTAGTTACGGTATGCAGATCAGTGGGGTAATGGGAGACCAAGAGTTCAGCCCTTATGGAGCTCTCACACTCTGCCGTGTAGGCCTACCGTCCACCTGCCGGGCTAAAAAAAACAACAGAGTCCAGAACGTTGGGTTTTGAGCGAACTTGTCCCCGGCCGCAAAAAAAAATTCATAAAATTAATCTTTTCACCGTTTCGTTGCCATCTTCTGACCGTTCTCACCGGGCGCATACCGGGTGTTGAACGTGCTTCTACCGTCTTCACCGCCCAGATTGACTTTTGTTGAAAATTTTGGCCGTTTCCATACCGGGCCCATACCGGGTCTCGAACGTGTTCACCGGGTTTGGAGCAGCCACCTACCAGTCACTTAGCGTTCCCTCACCGCTCGGAGTCCCCGGACTGCTGACGTCATGACACGACGGCCATAAATACCCCGATTTGAACGGCAACGGTCAGTCCGCTCTCCATTTTTCATCACCGTTCTGTAACGGGTTATGAGCGTGTTGTGAACGTGTTCATACAGTGTGACCGTTTTCATAACGTATACATACCGTCCTCTTGCCGCTTACTTGCGGCCGGTGCCAGCCGGCCAAAGTTTTGAACATGCCCAAAACTTTCGCCGGGTCCCACCGGGTGTAAATAAGCGCCAACGCCCTATTAACGTGTTGCCCGCTTTGATAACGAACCACCGTGTGCCCTCGCCGTTCTCCACCGTCCGCACACATTTTCGCGCACGGTGGCACACGGTAGGCCTACACGGCAGAGTGTGAGAGTCACTTTAAGAAGCACTGACGTCATACACAGAAAATCATACTTACTATAGCTGTTTAGATCTGATTCTTGCTTTCTCTGTTTCTTCCATCCTTGTAGTCTTGTATCCAGCCAGCTGTTGATATAAACTAGCCCAATCACACCAAACAAGATATACCATCCATAGGTCGCTACAAACTCTGAGGCTGGATGGGGTTGGAAATAAAAAAGGAAGTCAATAGTTTGGTTCACGCAATACTCCATTAACTTTAATTATATAATATACAGTCAAACGTGCTATAGTGACCACCTGCATACCTGCCAACCTGAGACAAGAGAAATTAGGAGTAATTTTTTCTGGATGGACTACGAGGTCGCGAACCACCAAAGGATTGGGGTAGTAGCCCGTAGATTGGGGGGGGGGGGGAACTAACGATCACGTTCGGGCTGCGCTGTGTATATCTTCTATGAGCGCGAGCGCGGATGTTGGCGTGATCTGGTTATCAGTGCTGTGTTATGCTTTAGTCTTATACATACATACATACATATTGGTATTTATTGAGCGCCTTTACATGAACATGCTCAAGGCGCTTTACATTTCGAAATACAAACATAATAGTTATATACTCTCCAAGTGCATTACACTAAAAAAAAAAAAAAAAAAAAAAAAAAAAAAAAAAAAATACATAAAATTTTTTTAAAAATCGGAGTTTTGAGGCATGCATTCGGAATTCGGAGTTGGTATGAAAAATGCGGAGGAACTCCGCCTAAATCGGGGTGGTTGGCAGGTATGCACCTGTCTACGAAGACCACCTGCCTACAAAGGCCACATTTGTTGTTTCCCTTGAAAATGGTTTCTTATTGAATCATGTACTAAAGGAACCTGTCTACAAAGGCCACTTTTTATGTTTCCCTTAGGCGGTCGCTTTAAACAGGTTTGACTGTATATTCAAATCATCTATTTGTTATTTCAGCATTTGTGATCTAGTGAATTCAATGCATTATTAGTGTGTAGAAAGTCTATACCTTAGTGTCAGGGGTTGAGTGTCTGGAGTCTGGACACTTAACAAACATAATGGCCGAATTCACATAGGAGGTTTACATTTAACCCATGGTTTAAACCTTCATTTACATAACCCATGGTTTAAAAATTAGCGCAAAATAAGCGTACCTTGCCTGGCACGCGTCTAATATTGGACCTCTTGACTGTGTCGTGCTTATTTTGCCTTTTTGCCTCGGCTATTATACGTCGGCGCTCTGATGATCCGCCAGACACGGTTTGTTGCTGTGTTCTCCACAGCGATTTCACACGGATCGACACGGCAAGAACCACCTCCCAGAGGTGGTTCTGATAATCCGCATCTCGGTCGACACAGGTCGACTCGCTTGTGTTTCCACAGGAAAACTGACACGGTATACCGTGTCAATGTTTTCTGTGGAAACACGCTGATTGATCATTGAAACAAATAACAAAGATTACAAATTATGACGAGGAAGAATCATATTCAATTTCAGCTTAATCTTGAAAACTGATATTGAAAGACAAAATAGGTGATTCAGCTGGTAATTCAGGTAAAAAATCACATTGCTTATGGGGCATTGCACTTGAATTTATCTTTGACCATTTTTTTTAGACAGTGTCACTGCACTGTCAATGAATCATGTTAATTTTTTGTACAAAATTGAAAATGAAAGTTACCTGTTGAGAGTCCATACGAAACACCCTCTGGTGTGGTATTTCCTTCCTCCGTCAGCTCCCGATCTTCAAACATTCCCGACATGTTGGATAAATCTTGATGTTTACATGACAGACATAAAGCACCGATTCAATTAATTTCGAACTCCGTTGATTTGGATTGTGTTCTCTTCACCATTTGCATGGCACTTGAACTGCACGCAAATTGAATGGGCGATCGCGAATGAATGCAATCTGCGTGTATAGTCGACTAGAATGGCCCGTCATTGTTTACAATGACGTGTGGATCTGAGCGACAACCTCGCGCCCAGAATTTTCTTCCATTTCATGTGTGTGTTTACATAATTTCTGTAAATGTATATATACCCACTGTATACTCCTTGTTCATCATAAGGCCCGGTCACACAGCCCTCCCACGGGCGTATCGCGGCCGAATCACGGCCAAAAATTTCTGCCCGTGAAGCAGACGCTGTTGGACGCTTTGAGGTCGCGATAAAGACGCGATACAGCCGTACTTTACCCGTCGTTACACGCGGTAAGAAATTCACACGCAGTTGGCCGCGCGAAAAAGTTTTGGGCTGCCCAAAAATTTAGACCGCGGGTAATCGCGGGCGGTACACGTGGTACACACGCGGTAAAGACGCGGTACAGACGCGGAACGAACGTGCTAGGACGTGCTACGGCCGCGGTTAAGACGTGGTTACACGCGGAATTGGACGCGAAATTTTAGCGGGTAATCGCGGGTGGAGCACGGTCATAGCACGTTTGTTCCGCGTCTGTACCGCGTTGTTATCACGTGCATTAGCGTGTGTACCGCGTGTAAGCGTGGTAGGCCGCGGTACCGCCGCGCTTCACCCGCGATAAGGACGCGGAACAGTCGCCGGCGTCTGTTCCGCGGGCATACCACGGGTAAACCGCGGGTAAGCCAATTTTGCACATTTTTTCCACCACGGGCAACCGCGGGCAAAAAAAAATCGCGAAATTTTACCCGCGATACAGACGCGAAAGGCTGTGTGACCGGGCCTATATTCAGAGTGACTATTTTCTATTTCTATACCAGTTACTCTTTCAATTCTCTCCTTCTCTATTTCTCTCTCTATCTCTCACCCCACCCCATTCATTTATCTCTCTCTTTCTAGCTCGACCATACCCCCTCTCTCTCCCCCTCCCATTTTCATTCTCTCACTCTCTCTCTCTCTTCCTCTGACCCCTCTTCCTCTCACCATCTCCCTCTCTCTCATGTTCATTCTCTCCCTCTCCATTTGCATTTACATCCCTTCCCTTTTCTCTTCTCCCCTTACCGTAATTACCATTATTTAAAAAATATCAAGTTAAAATACTATTCCCCTCTCGTGCATAGTGCATACAAATTCAAACATCTAACATTCCATCATTGCAATGAACTTATGTACAGTGCAGCCTTATTATGATCATCTGGGCCCCGTTTCATAAAACTTGTTATCAATCACAAATGTTAAATTTCTAGGACAAATTTGCTCTCGGCCAATCAAATGCCTGCGATTTCAGTATCTTATAACAGTTATTGTGACTTGTTATTGATAGCAAGTTTTATGAAACGGGCCCCTGGCTCAGTCAGCAGAACACATATTCCCTAGATGTAAATAAAAAAATGAGATAAAAATGAGTGAATGGCAATAAACATGGAACACTGTTTTGATATGACCTTTTCTACCCTTAGGATTGATGCAAACAACTTTTAATCATTTATCATAAATAAAAGAAATTTAGAAGGTCCGTATCAGTCCCAGAGAGGGGGGAGGCCGGCCGAGGGGGTACTGTCAAAACGCCTTTCCTACTTACGTTGTCAATTCTCAATTCAATACAATAGGCCGGTTTACTAACATTCAAATTGTATGCATATGCTGTTTAAAGAAGATTGTTTTTTAAAACCAGAAAGCTTGTCCGAGGCTTGCCCTTTATAGCAACAAGTAATGTTTGCAGACTGGATCCCAGATTATATGGAATACCTTTTAACTAGACATCCATAAATTTGAATATTCTAGTAAACCGTTCTATTTTATGGATATCCATGAACACCAAAAAAATGTTTCAACTTTATATGACTTGTGTAGGTCAGGTGCAACACAATAAAACTCATGTGCAAAAGTCAAACATTTTGGGGGCCTGGCTTATTTTGGTAGACGGAGATGGAGAGAAAACAAAATGTGAGATAGACATTGAGATTGATGAAGAAGTGATAGAGCAGGACATACCCTGGATAGAGGAAGAAATAGCAAACAAGAAGTAACAAGAGAGAGAGCGAGAGATGGAGAGGGAGGGAGATAGGGAGAAATATGACTACACATACAGTTAACGACTAAATTATTCATAACCCTTGTAAATTTGATGTTTTGTTTTGTTTGTTTTGTTTTTGTAACTCAAGAATGAAAGGTGGACTGCTTTAGGGCCTCTGTTGAATACTTTCAGATTTGAGCTTTAAAGATAAAGACCAGTTATGGTCATGCGATTGCATTGTAAAAGAAACGTTGGGGAATCAATCAGAAAAGGTTGATCATCTAGCATATTGGTGTGTACTGCAAGGTTCTGGAATCATCAAAATGATAAGAAATATGGCCTAGTCTTCGTAAAGTTACAAGCACTGTACACAGAAAGATGTATATGGGACTATACGCACATGTGCGAACACGTGCGTTTATCTCTCACAGACTATGTAGATAAACTAATTTACCAAATATATCAATTAGTAGGCGGTTTCCCGACAAAATTTGTTATCATCATGTATTAGTCAAAACATATTCTTTCACATGATTGGTAATAAGAGCTTCCATTTCATTTTTTTGAAACTGGGGCGTTTCCAATACTGGTCTTTACCATTAATATATGTCACATTCTCAAGACAGATAAATCAGGACAAATCAACTTTTCAAATATTTCAAAAACTATAAGGGTATAAATAATTTAGTTGTCAACTGTAGAAGAAAGGGAGAGGGTAAGATTTAAAACTGTCTCCATCCAGAATTTCTTGAATAGTTTACCCTAAAATAAAGATCAAGTGCACAGTGCAACACCATACAAACATAAAAAACAACATACACCACAATAATAAACACAACAAGTGCCACGGATGTTACATTTTCATATAGATATTTATATATACAAATAATCTATTTTTTTTTTTATTTCAGCATTTGTGATCTAGTGAATTCAATAACAAATATATATCCATTTACGCCTTATAAATAATGCATTATCAATATTTGGCTATCTTGGAAAAAAAGGAGACATTTTTCTTCCTTGCAAAAACAAGACGCGACATTTGTGGTACCACCATGTCACTATATCTACAATAAGTCTGCTATGTTCATAGAAGACTTAATTTACAGTACTCAAACACGATTTAAACAGATTTACCGTCATGATCGCTGGAAATTAACATTCGGGGATAAAACTGCTCAAAAAAGCAAGGATCATAATATAAAGTGCATAATAATACAGTGTTCATACACACACAGTGATAAAACACCTTTTCCCGTTGTTTGGTTTTTTGAAATAACATTTTTTTTCTTCATACATGATATACACCAGTAATCATTGACATCGTGATACATTTAACTTGAAAACATACACCCAACTACATTGCATGCTACCACAGTCAAAATATGAAGACAGATTTGGAGGTGCATTGAAATATGAAATATGAAATGGTCAGAGAATAAATGATTGAAACACATACGACTTCAAAGATGAAGATAAAGGCTTGACTTGTAACCACTGTAATAAAGAGGAGATATACAGCAACATGATTCATTTGGTTTCTCTATCAAAATCCCCGCAATTAGACCTGTTTTCGACTAAACTTCCCGGCAACCATAGTTCCATCTTCCCTACAACTTAGGGGAATAAAACTAAGACATGAATGAGATTCCTTAGAAAAATAATAATTAGATGTAATTAAGTAATTGATACATAAATTAATGAATTAATTAATAAATAAATAATAAATATTGTCTGAAGAGCCATCGCACATCAGGGTAAATATAATTTAAGCTCTAAGAACTATTTAGAATGAAAAAAAGAAGGAAGGGCAGATGTACTTCAAATTAAATACTAACAGAGTCAATATGCAGCAAAGTGCATAAATCATTCCTATCTTCACGAAGTGACGGTAGTGAGGAAAATCCGCACGCAAATTGTATGCGATTGTCATTCACTACCGTCACTTCGTGAAAATAGGGACGAAATGTGGAACCAAAGCGATATAATTTCTACATTTCAATTAACTTCATTTGCAGTAACTATACATCAGTTTTGGGGGTGGTCCAAACTTGACCGAAGTCCTCTGGACCAAAATTGACCGTCCAGAGCAAGAAGGGGATTATCTCTGTGTTATAGTACACAAGTTATTCCCCTTCAGACTTCAGACAAATAAAATTATGTTTGCCTTTGAAGGGGGCATGAATACAATTCTGCTGAGCATGGTTTCGGGGGGCTGAGGGGGAGGGGAGGGAAGGGGGAGGGAAGGGGGAGGGGGTTGGATGGGCGGAGGGGGTTGGACTTAAAGGTTACAAGTGACAAAGCACAGACAATCAAGAAAAGAAAATACAGTTGAGCCTGGCCTCAATGGCCACCCGTCTCCACTACCCCTTCTTTCTCCTTCCCTTGTGTTGCTGTCACAATAACAGTAATATTCTAGATTTAAAATTATATCGCTTGATATAAAATACCAATTCTAAGCACTTTACAGATGGTGTTACCCTGGTTATTGGATTTATTTGTGTACAATTTGCACCTTCTCCACTCCCTGGGGAGTATTGCTCTTATGTGGTCACCGTAAAGGCATATGGCCATTACTATAAACCCAGACGGGTTTGACTGGATATGAGTTTGTCCAAGAACCAAGGAGAGATGATATGGGAACAGAGGGGACAGAGGAAAGAGAGAGAGAGAGAAAGAGAGAGAGAGAGCAAGAAAGAAAGAGAAAGAGAGAGAAAGTGAGAAAGAAAGAGAGAGAGAGCAAGAAAGAAAGAGAAAGAACGTGAGAGAGAGAAAGTGAGAGAGAGAGCAAGAAAGAAAGAGACAAAGATAGTAAGTGAGAGAGAGAGAGCAAGAAAGAAAGATATTAAGTGAGAGAGAGAGAGAGAGAGCATTTTGAGATCACGTACGACACCAGATGCACCAACAATGTGAGACAATTCTGGAAAATTTGAATTACGGACAATTTATGAGAACGGGGAAAGAGAGAAT